CCCCAAAACCCCAAAACCCCAAAACCCCAAAACCCCAAAACCCCAAAACCCCAAATATATATCTGAGCGGTGATTTTTTGAAATATAAAATGGATGTGAAAAATAAAAAGTCAAAGGGGTTAAATAACATTATCTTTCGAAAAAGTCTCGCTAGGTTACCATCCCCACTAGATCGTAAAATCTTTCAAAAGACATGTATAAAGTACAGAAATTCACACCGTCCTTCTACGATAAAATCTCAATCAAATCTTCGAATTCCTTATGTAGGAGAAACTTCTCCTAATGAGATGAGTAAGTATGGAAGAAATTACCTTTGAAACTCCTCAGAGTTTATCAAATATCTAGATTTATTTTTAATTCTTAAGTAACTAATTGTGGATCTCCCAGGTTGTTCTAAGAGCAATTTATTTCTCTATTTTAGAGTTTGAGCAGCTACTGAGTGTAAAATAAGGTGTTCCCAACTGCGAATCCTTTCTCAATTAATCGCATAAAAGCATTAACTGCTGAAGGGATCAAGAAAAAGGCTCAGGAAAGTCAAAGCAAAAGAGGTAGCTGAGATATACAGTAAGACTAGAGCTTATCTACAACCTGAGAGTTATCCTACCATTTTAGGTCACAAGAAGCCAAGAATATATCAACTAAGCAAAGTAGTACTGATAAAATTTCCTATGGAAAAGCACCCCAAAGACGTATCATCTATGCTTCTCGGTCTAAGAAAATCAACCATGAGTCTGAGTACTTCATTCGTTGCGCTATGTCTCCAAATTACTCAAAGGCAGATTTTGTCTCAAGATACAAAAGAAATCAACCACCAAAAGAGAAACCTGTCAGTAAAGGGAAGTTATTTAGAGAAGAAAAGGAAACTTTTCACAAAAATAACGGAGTTAGAACAGGCACTATGTTTAATAGTAGGAACAATTCTAAGCTTTTAATGTAAGTCAAACATCAGGTGAATGGTTTAGCCAAAGAAAGACTATGTCGAAGTCAATCAAATCTATTGACAAGATCAAGGATGTCCAAAACTCTTTTAGAAGAATCAAGAGCACCCAGAGGAATAGAAATACTAGTCAGAAATAGCACTTCACAGATCCAGAATCATAAGAAACTAGCTACTAATATTAACTCTAAATAACCAGGATGCCAGCTCAAGGCTTGAGGTAAGTTTCCATGACATTCTTTAGAGAGTAATGCAAGCTATGCTGAAATAAGTCTTCCAAGTTGAATTCAATTCTCGCAACGGATCTCTCCTCGAACGAAGAATGTTTCAATTACAGAAATACTGCCAACAATTTCGAGAAGATGATCTCTCAATTTAGTATCCACAAGATCACCAATACACCCACACTAAAAGATCTTGAGAGGATAAAGAGGCCAACTAGCTGAACTTCTTCCAAGCCAGCTAAGAAGAAACTTAATAAGAACATTATTAAAGTTAAGTTAGAATATTTCAAATCAAAATTCCAGGAAATTTTACAAAATCAGAAGAACAGAAGAGAACAGATGCAGGATTAGTCGGATGCTACCCATTTGAGGGGAGATTTTAGAATCTAAAATTTCAGGCGTTAAGTCTTAATATTAATCAACCTTCATAGGTAAGAGGGGTTTTGGGGTTTTGGGGTTTTGGGGTTTTGGGG